AGAGGGGAGAGGACCAGGCCCGTCCTCCCAGCCGGGCTCTTAATATCCACCCCCCGAGCAGGTTGTTGCTGGAGTCGGGTGGCCCTCAGAGCTCGGGTTTGATGGTCTAGGGTTTATTCTGGGGAGTGCTCGAGCTCAAAGGTCCTGCTGGTGCCAAAAGGATTGAAAATCCAGACCTAGGGTAGACACAGGAGGATACAACTGCCCTGGCCTTTTTTTTATATAAAGCTATTAAGATATTTTCAAATAAAATTTACCTCCTCAGTATGGGATAAATAACTTCATCAAACCAAAACAGCTGGAGCCTGACGGGAGAGAGACAGATACAGAGTGGTGCTTTTTCTTGTCTCCTTGGGCGCATTTGACCAGCAAAATAGTGCTGAGCCCGGACGCACCGAAGGTGGAAGCGCCGCTGAGGAGCTGATATCGTGCTGGTGACCAAGCAGAGCACGTCCTGGCCAAGGGGAAAGGAAGACGAAGCACTTTGTAGCCCTTCCTATGCTCCTCTTTCAGGGTCGGAAATGCTATTGATCGGCAATTGGAAAATTGATGTGATGTCAACATCCCCCGTGATTCCCCGGGCCCCTTTCCTTCCCAATTAACTTGAAAGCTGGGGAAGCATTTTTATTGGTAAGCTACAAACTGCCTCCATCCAGGGTTTTATTTTACTACCACAATAAGCGGGCAGGGAGGGAGCTTTGGATTAAAGGGCTTTTTCTTCCTTTTGCTCGGCTCTAGACAACTGTCACTCTCTCTGCTTTGTGGGATCCAGGAGCATTTTCCAGCCTTTTGCATTTTCTGATATTAAGCAGAATCTAAGCAGCATCTTGTAATCAGGACTAATTCTCAGACATGCTTGCATCTGCCATTTGCGTGAATGGTCTTGGAATAAAATGAGAAAGATTCAATTAACAATTTAGGGGAATTTTTATATTAGGCAGAGCATCTCATTAAGATTAGGAAATCAGGGTAAAAATTGTTAATATTTCCCTCTAAGAATGTAATTAAAAAGAATTTTTAAGGAAAGGAAAATGGCTTTCATTTGTGAATGAAGCTWAGCCTTTTTCAGGATCCTAACTGCCCCACAAAGACATGAAATACATTGGCTCTCATAAAAATTGCAGACTGGGCAGAAATCATCTTTGATATGGGAAGAATTTGGCCCCAAGTCCAGTGAGGCCAAGGGGAAGAGCTGGGGTCACAGCACTCCAGCTGCCCCTAAATGAGTGAGACCACTGGTGTCAGTCTTGCTGAAGGGGAAGAACAGGAGCCAGGCTTCAAAAATAAGCAACTSAGATGTTTTATTCTATTTGGGCTATTCTTCATTTTGCTCCCAGTTCTCTCATGTTTAGGCTAGAATTAGGGCATTAAAAAAAAACTCTCAAGTGAGGAGAGGTAAAAGATTTATTTTAAAAGCAACAGCAAAGAAATAAGGGAAGAATGCCCTGAAAAGAGAGCTTGCTGTCCACTCGTTATGCAATTCCAGGCCCTATGGAAGCAATTCCAAGCTCTAAAGAAACCATAAATCTCATGAGATTTGCAAAGGTGCCAGAAAGGTGGCAGAACTCTTAAAAATCCCCTGGCCCTGTGATTCTGAATGTCTCTGAGAAAATCAGAGTTCTTTTTGGCCAGACCCTCTCCCTTTTTAAGAATCCAGGATCAAATTCCGTGTTCTACACCTAGGCACGTTCACAGTTTAACCTTGGTTTTAGAGCCTTTTGGATAGATTAGCCTTTCTCTATCTGTGCTGGAAATGCCACTGTAAGAAAAGCTTTTTACCTTTCTCATGGCTTGAGCAGGAGGTGAAGGAGCTCAGAATTCCGTAGAACCAAACTCCGTGCTTGAGTTGGGCTCTCTGGGGTGTAAAACCAGCAGCTCGCRTGGAATCATTCATCATTTTGTTTCTTGCCAATCCAGGAGTTACTGGGAAGCTTGACTGCTTGCAGGGATGGGCTTTAACTCCGCAAAGGGGCTGGATGAGACTCGCTTGATCACGGGTAACTAATCATCACGCTGTAGGACTTTATTTTACTGGCTGGTTCCTGCTCTCGGGGTGACCATCAACCTGCTATGGCCTTGGCTCACGCTGAATTGGTTCTTTGTTTCACTCTTCCTCCTGACCAGATCAAGTAGGAGAGCCAAGAAAGTGCCTCTACCTACCTCACTTTGCCTCTTTTCTCCTCCTTTTTCCCCCATTCCCATGGGCAGCAGTCCCTGGATCAGGGTCCATGCTCAGGTGCGAGCTGTCGCCTGGCCAGGCTCAAGAGGGGAACCCACAACGTTTTATTTTCCTTTATCATGACTCAGTCTAATGCCTCTTACAACTGCTGGGTTAGCCAAGCCAAAGAGAAAACAAAGCAGATCCCTGGCCGCATTTGGGGAGCAGATTTGCCTCTTTCTTCAGAGCTCATTAAAAGAGCCGCTTTCATCTTGTTAGTTTGCTAAGACATCTCCGGCAGGACGAGATGCATCACGTCAGAATACGACAGGCAAATTTCTTTTAAGATTTTAAAACTAGGTTGGAAGAGGAGAAGCTTTGCAGTTCAGTGTTGTCACCAAGAGATATTTTTACTATTATGAGATTCTAAAACAAGAAGCAAGTTAAGAACTGTCACAGAAAAGAGAAAAAAAAACCCTCAAACCCATGATGTATTTTGTCTTGCCCACTAATGTTGTTATTGCATTTCTGTGAAATCTCTTTCTGTCTATTAAGAAGCATTTTGAGTATGGATAGATGCCGTTGATATTCCAGCCCTATGCCCTGCTGCAGCCACCGGCCTGCAGCGCTTCCCCCTGGCTCATCCAAGCCCAGCTCTGCTGCGGACCCGCATGGCCCTGCTCCGGATCGTGGCCACCGAGCGCGTGAGCGGCGCGGGACGAGCGACGATGGCCAGTTTGTACAGTCACCTTAACCCCCACAGCGTGGGATATTCCCTGGGAAGGGAAGATATTAGCGACGTGGGCACACGGCGCAAGGAASGAGGCCTCACGTGAGTGTTCACAGCCCCTCGTTACGTTTCAGCCGCGTTTACCAGCAAATTGCCCAGACRGGCTGCAAAGGCAGAGGGTAGGGACTGCTGCTCACTCCAGAGAACTTCATTAGATTAGCCGTAATTCAGTTACTTAGAGAGCGAGGAGAGCCCGGGGCTGTTTCAAGGGGCTTTTTGGAAAAGGTCAAGGCAATCTATCAGGTGGCTATTGGGACTGATGGCTTTTGGGGAAGATGATAGTAGATGTTTAAAGATAAGAAGCTGGAACGCTGCACGTATTTCAGTATTCTGCTGAGCAGCACTAGTGAGACACGCTTGGTGTCTTCCTAGGCTGGGGCCTGCTGACGAACAAACGCCTTTGCTAGCATTAGTTACAAGCCCCCATAAAAATATCCCAGAATAACCACGGCGGTCTTGACTCCATGTTAGAATCTAAAAAATAGGATTGCACATTGCAGCCTTCTCACATCCTCCACATTTATTTCGAGGCATAAGATATAGAAACTGATGGCGTTGCTTGCAGACCTACATCAAAGAGTATTTACAGAGGAGGGGGGACGTGAGTGGAGGACAGATTTCTCCAGCACAGGAGCTCTCTTCCCGCCGCTCCGTGGAGGAGCATCCAGCCCGGGCGGGCGCAGGTCCAAGGGTGTGGGGCGGGTGACCAAGCGCACGCGGTGCCAACAGGAGGGTTGTTCCTGGGCCTGCGCTGCCTCCCCTGGGGCACATGCCAACCTCCTGCTCCACCTCTGCCCAGCCCCAGCACCTCTCTGGGCTGGCTAGTTCCCACACTGCAGCTGGAAGACACCTCCAAATATTTCTGCCATCATTAATTTGATCAGTCCCAATCCCCATGCTGGCCCCACTCTCTGAGCACTGTAGCTTTCACCTGCCCCTTCCTCTACCCACTATTTCAGGATTTACCATGTAACCTCCGAGCCCTCCATTACCAGTATCTGCTCCCTGTTCCTTTGTCTTAGAGATTCCCATGCCGCTTTTCAGGGCAACAGCCCCATGTGAAACYGCTGCAGCCATCGCCAAAGACGACATTTATGATCTAGAAGCACCCTGGTACCACACTATTCCAAAAATAAACCAAAATCGCAGTCTCTTTCAGCAAGACCTAGCAACAACCTGCACCGGGTGCGGGGGAGCGGAGGGTGTCCGGCCCGGAGGCCGCGCCCGGACCCGCCATTCCGGGTCYCTCCGTTGGTAACGGGTGGGCGCCGCTCTGCGCCCCCCTCCGCCCCCGCGCCCCCCGAGCGGGTCCGAGCCCCTTCGGCTCCTCCCGAACGCACTCGGCCGCTCCCCGAGCGCTTCCGAGCGGCGGCCGAAGGGAGCCGAGCGCGGCGCTCGGGCTTCGCCGGGCGGAGCCGAGCGGCGCCGAGGCGGCGGGTTCGAGGCCCCGCTGGGCGCTGTCCACCACGGGAAGCGCCTGAACGCGGCGGCCGGGCCCCGGGGAGCCCTCGCGGCCGCCGAGCCCTCCGCAGGCAGCGGCGCCTTCCCCGCCGCACGGGGCGAGGCGCGGGGCGGCTCCGCCATGGCGCCGCCTTGCAGCCGCCCGTCACGGCCGCGCCCGGGCACGGCGAGCCCCGCGCCTCAGCGGCGGCCGCCGGGGGGTCCCCGCCGCGCGATTCAAGGCTGCGGCCGAGGGGGGCAGCGAGCCCGCCGCGCCGGCGGCCGTTACTTATTTATTTATTCGCACGCTGATTATTTCAACGTTCTCTCTCCCGCGGCGGTTGCTAACGGAGCGCCGCAGCGGCGGGCGGCGCCGCTTCAGCACCACGGCGGCGCCGAACAGCAGCGGGGCGCCGCCCGCCGCAGGTAACATGGCGGCCGCGGGCACCTCGGCGGCCGCCGCCCCGCCGCGCCCCGCCCCGCCGCGCGGCCGTTACGGCCGTTATGATCGCGACCCCCCCCCACACACACACACCCTCCCTCCTCCGCGCGCGCGGAGCGACCGTTACGGCCGTTATTCCGCCCCGCTCCCCGCAGCGCGGCGGCACCTACTTCATCTGCTTCACGATGGTGCTTTTGCCCGACTCGCCGGCCCCTGTGGAGAGAGCAGAGGGCGGTGAGCGCGGCGGGAGGGGAGGAAGGGATGGGAGGCAGGGGAAGGATGGAAGGGAAGGGATGGAAAGGAAGGGAAGGGAAGGGCTGGAAGGCAGGGGCTCGCTCTCACCTAGCAGCAGCAGCTTCACGTCTTTGGCGGCGCTGATGCCGTCCTCCTTGAGGTTCTTCTCGATGGCCTTGCTGCGCTCCAGGGCGGCCCGCTCCTCGGCGCTCAGGGTACATCCCATGGCGGCCCCGAAAATGCAAAAATTAAAAATAATAATAAAAAAAAAACGGAAAAAAAAAACGGGCGGGGGGGGCCCCCACCGCCGCCTCGGCTGGCTCCTCCGAGGGCAGGGGAGCAGGCAGGGGCAGCCCCGGTCCAGCGACGAAAAAAGAATAATAATAATAATAATAATAATAATAATAATAATAATAATAATAATAATAATAATAATAATAATAATAATAATAATACAAAAGAGCCCCGGCACGGAAAGGAGGAAAAAATAATTAGAAACAAAATAACAGGTTGGTAAATCTCAGGGCGGCGCGGCGAGTCCTCGGCGGGCGGCGGCTCCCTGCTGCCCGCTCCCTGGTGATCAGCGCATCCGAGTGGGCACCGGGCGGAGCGGGGCTGCGGGCACCGCGCGAGCGCTTCCCGGCGGCGAGGCGGGGGCGGAGGAGGAGGAGGACGAGGAGGGCTCGTGGCGGGGGGTGGGCCGGGCCCGTCCTTCCCTTCGCTTCCCGCCCCTCCGCGGCGCGGGCGGCGGCGGAGCCTAATGGAGGCGGCGGCGGGAGAGCATGGGGGGGGCTGGCGGGGCCGCGCCCGTGACGCGCGCGCTCCGCGCATGCTCGCGGCGCGCCCGGCCCGCGGCCGCTAGGCCTCGGCGGCGCCGGCCCTCGGGGCTGGGAGCGGCCGCCGCCTCCCGCGCGCGGTGCGAGCCGCCGAGGCTCACCACCATTTTGGATGGGTTTCCCCCCAGCGCGATTAACAGGTGGGTTTTTTCCTTCCCTCCTCCGCCTCCTTTTTCCGTGCTACAGTGCAATCACAGATGCCTTCTCGCCGCAGAAGCTGCCTTGTTTTCAGGAGCAGGAGTTAAAATGCTGCAATCTTGCTGTCTGGTTTCACCATTTCATAAGGCTAGAAATAGAGAAGGAGCAGAAGACGTCAATGGGGAAAAGACACAAGTCCCTCTATGAAATGCTTTCCCAGTGCCCTAGGCAAGTGCCAATATATTCAGTTCCAATCTGTAACATTGACTGATATGTAACTATGAAAAAGTTAGGAAGAAAATGATCAAGTGTTGAGGGCAGAAAGCGAAAAGGCACCAGCCCTGTGGATGAGCAGCATCGCGCAGGGTGGGTTTTCCACCTTGGCCCTCTGCTCACTGCCTCTTCTGAGCACTTATCACACCCTGCTATTGAGTGCTGCGGTCGCTGCATCTACACATCCTTCCTTGAGGGCAGAAATACCATTTCTAATAGCGCTTCCAGTATGTTAAGCACCGCTTTCCTGGTGCTTTCCTTCCTTCATCTCCTCCCAGCACAGTTTCCATCACACTCTCCTTCCAGAATATGTATTTTTCTTTTCTCTCCTCCACACCTATGAAAGGATGAGGAAAAAGATCTAGTGCTTAGTGGGGTAAAAACATGGAAGGAAGAACTGAGTGAAAAATAAAAAGCAAAAGGTAACTCAAAAATAATAATACTCTCTTCAGGGAACAGTGATATTTGCTGCACATTTGTTAGCTAAGAGGTACCATATGTCTGAATTTGGGGTCATTTGTATGAGGAAGCTCCCAGGAATGAGATAACATGGAAAAGCAAGTTGGCCACATGTCTTCAGTTGGGAATAAATGGAGACGTGACTGATTACAGAGTAGTTCCTGTTGTTTCATACCCATGCAAATCCTTTGTGTAAAATCAATGGGATCAGCATTTCAATCAATATGTTTCATTTCAGTGGCACTAGCCAGAGGGCGTTGGGARAAGTGCAGTAAAAGAAGAGCACAAACAAAACTGCCGAGGCAGCGTCCTCCTGAGATGGCTGCATTTCACTCGCCATCTTCTCCAGCAATCTGCCAGTCTTGGAGTCACGTTGGGAGATTCTCCAAGGGTTTCTTGAGGAGACTTCGTCTCCCGTATCAGCCTCTGGCTACTCATTATGTGACAAATTTGTAGCTTCTGCCTCCTGCCACGGGGACAATGATTCACTTCTGCATGGCCCATGGGGGGTCTGCATGAGACCTTTACCCCCTGTGCAGTCCCACTCACTGTACGTGTCTACTAATCCCTTACAGAAGGGATAACCCAAAATGAACAAGTCTTCTCCTCCATGTCTCTGATCTCAGATTCAGGGGAGCAGCTGTGAAATGTAGACGTTTCTGAGCCAAGTTTTGCAGGTTTTATGTCACTGCTAATTCAGTGGAGCTGCTGAGAAAGTTTCTTTTGAGTTTTTCTTAGAAGGGAATTTCGTTTTTTTTACAAATTGCCTTCATATGGCAGCTGGGTTTCRAGAGGTACCTGCCTCACCTACCAAGCGATGAAAATACATAGCAGTCTGCTTGGGTTTTGAGATTAATATATTGGGTTTTGTGGACAAAAGTAATATTCCCACTTTTCAGGGACTAATAGGAGTCTTGAATATGTGTGTATATATATACATATACACTAAAAAGCAGTTGGTTTCAGTAAGGACTTAAGAGAAAATTGTTTTCTTAAATATGCAAGATGTTTTTCATGCCAGGTGTGAGGCAGAGGACTCTTTCTGACCAGTYCTGCAGCTGAACTGCTTCAGTCAAAGGGCATGAAGGACAGCGTTTGTTTCTGCTTGGGCTATTGKCTTTATAACCATAGCAGTGGTCAGTGTATTTTAAAACAAAGCCCTCATTCTCCTCTATCTCTGATCAGTGCCTTATCAAGAACAGGCTTCTCTTCACAATCTGTTTTCAACTGTTTTGCTAGAAATAAAATTAAATAGCTATTTCTTTAAGACAAGAAGGRAGGGATAATGTGAACACCACTGATGGATGCCTTAGAAACCTATGGTCCCAGAGTGATGTTACAAGGTATGTTGTTGTGTTACAAGGTGTATTGTTGTGTTATGATGTATATTGTCAGGTTGTCATCTCCAGGGTGTTGTGTCCCTGTGGGTGGTCRGGTGTCTGTGTCTACGTGGTGGAGGAGATGTGTTCTCCAGGAAGCCTCACTACTACCAGCTCAAGGGTTTGCAGAGTGCTCCGGCTTCCTTTAACCCAGACACCTTGTTTTCTTTCTAATGGATGCATGGTAGCCCATGTGATGGAGGGGAAGGCGAGGAGTGCRCCTAGAAGCCAGGTTTGGGAAGCCCTTTTGGGTATGCCAGTCTGTACGTAGCCTGGGGGAGCAGTTGCAAAAGCATGCACAGATACGGCTGTAAAGGCAGTCTGTGCCTCCCAGGCTGGGAAAACCATCCTGAGGGAAAATTAATTGAGTATCTTTGGCTTAAACTCCCGCCAGCAGAGCTGAAGCGGCAGCACTACTGGGAGCTGGATGCCACCCCCGGAGTTAGTTGCTGTTGTTTGTTCTCGGCGAACCGGTAGTCAGTGTGAAGAGAGGTCAATCTGGGATGCTGTGACCATAGGAGACAAGCTACAGCCCTTTTCAAGTTGTCTTCTCCTCCTGCTTCAGTACTGTACTCTCCCATCTATGATTTTATACCTCTACGGTATGGTTTTAATGCCCATATTAATGGAACTGCCACCAAACCCACGGAGAGGCAGCAATGCGTTCTAGCACATCGCACCATTAGGAAGTTTTCTCCGGATATTCAGCCTAATTTTTCAATCTTTAAATTGATGTCAATTACCCCCCAGCGAAACCTAGTTATACAGTGGAAGACAGGTTTAAAATACTGCATGATCTCACTAAATTGGAGAAATGGACTGAAATCAATACAATGAGAGGCAATAAGAACGCCCAGAAAGGTTAAGTGGTTGATGCAGGAAGGATTAATGAAATGCTCAGATACTAGGTCAAATTGCAAATATCTTTGCTTCATTCTTACTCGCTCTGTCCTACACAATTATGTTCTACACAGGCAAACCCAAATGAGGCGGATTTGGCTAGTGACAGAGGAAGTACAGTCCAATGTTAARGGGTTGAGATGGATGTAAATTATGTTACAGTCAAAAGGGGAAGAGACACCACGAAACTCAGCGTAGCTGTTGTGTTTTTACCTGTTATCTCCCTTTTGGGGATCCTGATAGACAAAGGCTTTGTACTGAGAGAGAACAGACAGTGACTGGGATATGTTTGGAGGAAAGAGAGCAAATGATAGATGATCTGCTGTGGAAGCTGAAGGTTGCTGAAGGAACCGAGGCTGAAGGAGCCGAGGTCCTAGCCCTCGGAGGACAGGAAAGCTCTGTCCACCTAGCCCTCAAAAATCCATGCAGAATGAAGCTGTTGCTCAGAGTTGGGGCTCCCGCCACTGATTTCCCAAGGAATGAAGTCCATTTCTGCAGAATTAAGCTTTTTCATATAGAATTAAAGGTTTCTGCTACTTGTTCTTGTGAAAAGAAACTCAAGGGGTTACCTGAGATCTGATGTTATCCAAATATTTAGAGAACCCCCAGTTACAGTCTTCAAGTGAGAAAGGACTTGCCAATAAGCCTTAATGAGGTGTGAACTTCTCTCCTTTTTCTGCAGGGACTATTCCCAAYCCCAAGAAAATTTTTCTGAGTCAATGTTTTCCTTTTTCTAGTAATTTAGGGACACATGGCAGATAAAGAAGAAAGATCAGAGGCCTGAAAAAATCAGAAGCTGAATGAATAACTGTTCTACTGCTGATCACTGGGCTATTTTCACTGTTGGGGACAGGTTTGCGTAAAGCCTCACTCTTTTCCGCTCCTTCCTCCAATCCAGCTCCTGTTTGTATGGCACCACGGAGAGGATAAGAGCGAAACGTCTTTTGTGATCAAAGCGTTCGTGCTGCCGTGGTGATGCGGGAACCGAAATGGGACAGAGCTACAAGTGGCAAGAAGCTTATTTCCAYCCGCTTTCTGCAGTAAGAAATGTATAATAACACGAGTGATTCAGCAGGTGGACTGGCAAAAAGCAGTGACATCAACGCAACACAATGTGTTGTGTCCTTGAGGCCACCACGAGAGAGTGCCCCAGTGTGACCTGCCACGACTGGGGCATAAAGTGGCCTAGGGTCGTATTGGTGGCTCTGCCATTCCTATTTCCYTGATAGCAAGAATGATGATTTATTGGGACTAGCAAAACAATCTGCCATGAGCCAGGAAGGCCGGTCAGAGCCCTGGTCATGAGTAGAAAATTCAGCCATTGCTTGGATTTGATAAACCCGAGCGTAACCTTCGGCATCAAACATCCACACTCAAACAYGCGACTGATTGCGCAGAAGTGTCATTTCATTCAGCTACTGTCATCAGATGCAAGATCTGGGCATACAATTCAAGCAGCTCCATTTACGGCACTTCAGGAGCATTCCTGTTTTTATATAAATGCTATCCAGAAACCTCGCAGCTCTYGTTCACACAAGTAGTCCTGATGAGTGATCTTACTGAGGAATGCTAATTTAGTCCCTAAAAATATGAATGTGTACTTGCTTTACGGCTCACAGAAACTCATTCCAAGTACAAATCAGTTAAATTCAATTCTTACCTTTTTTCCTCCCCCTGCAAAGCCCTTTCTCTGCATTTTGTGTGGAATCATCACATTCTTCATCTATTAGAAATATATAAGCATCTCCTTTCCAAGTTGCATTTCAGTGTCATGAGATACTTCCTGATGGTAAGTACTGATGTGATTCATGAAGGCTGGCATTAGCTGATGGAGGCTATAATCAGGGAGGAAAAAGAGAGATGCTCCTCGAGCAGAGGATGAACAGTGGGAATCATCTCTCACCTTTGATTGTGAAGAGAGCCTATAGAAACTGCCTGTCCTTGGCTGAAATTAGCGTTCACGAGCATCCCCACAGTGCCTGAAACCAAGGACTTGCTCTGCCTGGAAGGGAGTGGAGAACAACTTATACRCACGCTGAACAGGCAGGGTTATTCTGAGAAGGTCAGACCAGGGGAAGCTTCATCTCAATCTAGAAGAAAAGCAAGTAAGCAGCACTTCTGGAGCATCAGTGCCAACAGTTTACATCAAAATATTGGCTGGATGCTAAAATTGATCCAGGTTCACAAAGCAGTAAGAAAAAATTGTGGAAAAAAAGAGAAAAAAGCTCCATCAGGGGTTATTAAGTACTCAAAGATCCTGCCTCTGGCTTCAGCTGTCTCTGGGTCACAGGCTGTGAGGAGCTGTGAGTGCCAGCGGGGAGCATTGCTCTGCACAGGCCTTGCTCGTACACGCTCCTGCCTGCAGCCTGCGTGGGCCATCTCAAGGTCTAGGCAGACCTTCCCTCCTGCCTGGTGTACACATTTTGTGCATCCAGAGTTTGACTATATCCAGGAGAAGCTCTAAAACCTACAAGGAGGAGCACGTTCCACCGGCGGAGTGCAGTTGGGAGCCTCTCTGCTAAAGTCGGCAGCGGAAGGTCCCTTCGTGCCAGTGTCAGCAGGTACTGAGTGCCTGGCACCAAGTAGAGGGTTCTGTGTTCATGACTGAAGAGCACAACAGGCTGGAGCGCTGCGTGTGCTCAGGAGAGCCAGCGGCCTTGGCGAGCACCTTGCAGCCCAGCTGGCTGCGCTGGGCCAGCAGCTCRCCCGAGACTGGAGGCCCAGGGAGGCTGTGGAGTCTCCTTCTCCGGAGGTCTTCAGAACCCGCCTGGATGCCACCCTGTGCCCTGTGRTCTGGGTGTCCCTGCTTGAGCAGGAAGGTTGGACTAGATGATCTCTAGAGGTCTCTTCCAACCTTAACCAATCTGTGATTCCATGAGAAAAGACACAGCCGTTAATTCCACCGTTCAGCCCGCCCTGTGAGGATCGGTCGTCTCCTTGCCCCTTCTTTGGGGAATGAACATCCTCGTCGGTTGCTGGGTGATAGCAGCACCGCCTGTGATAGAAACCTGTGCTTGCGTAGCTGAGCGCAGAGGCTGGCGAGCRCGCGGCGCTGCCTGGAGTCTCGCTGTCCTTGCGTGAACTCCACGCTTGTGTCTTATTCTTGGCTCCCAGCATCTCCAGAGCCACAGGGAAGTTGTTGTGTGTCTTCCTACAAAAGAGGAGACACGACAGAGGGCTTAATGGGGTATGTATGAGGTTAAATTAGCACATGGGACAKCTGTGGATTCGTTTGGAGGTCTGTCCAGCCTGGCTTCAAATGGTTCTCAAGCTTCTGCACCTGACTTTCCATTCCTCTGCTTATTGCCTTGGCTTCTGGGGGAGGCCCTGCCTTGGGATGCTGCTGTCGCTGCTCCTTCCTCATGGAAGGAGAGGTGGAGCAGGGAGCACAGCTCTGGCTGGGCTTTATGCCAGGAGTTACTGCCAGGAGGGCTGTGACAGGAACCCCGATGCTGGGTCCACCTCGCAAGGGGCTGCTGCACTCTCCTAAAAGCAGAACTTGCTAAAGATGCAGGGATACAAGTGCAGTACAGGAGAGAGCAGAGCAGATCACTGGATTGTTAAATGTAGGACATGTAGGTCCCTGTTGGCTCCCTCCAAAATCCTCGTGGTTCCCTCAGATATGCGGGAAGGACAGAGGAGGCTCCTAGTATCTGTATTGTGCAAATGGAATCGTATCCTCTCCTAAGTGCCCTCTCTCATTTGATCCCATGCTACCATTTCTAGGTCTGCTTCCACATCACCTTCCTGCTTCCCTTTCGAGAGCCCAAGGGCAACATTCCCAGGGTGAAACCTGCCCGGCGGCTCATCCCCATCCCCAGGCCAAGCAGAGGCATCTGTGACCCACAGAGGAAAAATCCCCCCTGGTTGACAACGAGGGCTGCTCCCTGCGCCCTTCATCCTCCTCCGTCTACCTTTGAAGCTCAGCCAGAGGTTCCCTGCCTCGAGGGGCAGCTGGGCCCCGCTGGCAGCGGTGCCAAGGTGGGATGTGCCCCGCTCCGGGCTTGCTCCCGCTGCCAGGGAGTGCTCTGTGTTTGTGCAAGGCTCCTGCCACGGGAATCACAGGCACCGGCCTTGAAGGCAGCCTGACACCCTGCAAATCCYGGCGGAACAGGCACAGCTCCAACCCTCGTCCGCAGGGGAAATAAAGGGAACCTGCAAGTGTCACTTATCCAGGTAACATTGTCATACAAGGGGTCCCATCCTGAAGGGTGACAGCTCCTGGACACGCTCTCCCCTTGGGGACAGGACTAGGCACACGGGATGGCAGAGAGAGAAGGAAGCGAGGGGCGGCAGCTAGCTGAAATTCCCATTTGGCCACTTAGGACCTTGCTGCTCGTGCAGAATATTTGACTTGCTGAGGCCACATCAAGCCTCAGTGGCCGATGCAGCACGTTTCTGAAGTTTCAGTTGCTGCTTCCTTGCCTGAGCTAGTGGTTTTATTGCTTTGGTTGCTCAGGAAGGGCAAGGGAAGGATGAACAAATCCGTACAGCCCTCTTGAATCCRGATTGATTTTCATGAATTACTCTTCTTGATTTCAAAACACCTTTGTTTCTAAAACATCTAATTGATTCCATTTCTTTTTGTTCTTCTTCCTTTTCAGCAACACTTGTCCTCAGCCATTTGCCACTGTTGGGAGAGGAGAAGAAAAAAAAAAGGGAAAAGAAAAAGAAAATAAGCTCTGTGTGAGATCAAGATTTCAACGCATTATACACCAAAACATTTGTTGCTATTTACTTTTAAAAGTGCCCTTCTGAGGCAGCCCGTCTCGAGCTGCCATCTGTTCAGGATTATGCTTTGGAACTCCTGGTTTCCCTGCAAACCTCCTGCCTCGTGCGCGGCTCCGTGTGCCCAGAAGAGAGAAGGAGCAGGGGATAATGGGCTGCGGTGAGAGGAAATGCAGCTTTACAGCTGGATCTGAAGTTCTGACCTGGTTGTCAAGGAACTGCAGACATGAGAGGTGGAAAAAAGTGGCCTTGCTAGTGAAGTTGCCTCTGCAGGGCATTTTCTGAGGTTCAGTAGGGYGTTGCATGCTGGTTAAAATACAAAAGGGTCGAGGCAGGAGGGTTGCTATTCATCTCCTCGCTTTGAGGAGGCAACAGGGTGATTTGGCCCACTGCCTTTCAGTGCAGTATAAATCCACCCGTAAAGTTGTCACCCTGTTTTTTTCCTTCCCTTCCCTGGTCCCTCCAGGGTTGGTTTTGGGTGAAGAGGGAAGAGAAGTCTTTGGTTGTTTGAAGTCAGAATGGAGCCARTGTAATAATAAATAGTAGAGCGCAGAAGGGTAGAAGTTCTCTCAGCGCTCCTTGCACCCCATGGCTGGAAGGGCTCCCCCTGCCCTTCCCAGCAGACAGGTTTTCCAGGCTCCATTCCCTTATCAGCCTCTTCTGATCTGATTGCCCGCTTGGGAGGCAGCAGGGATCCTTTCTCAGCATGGCAGGACTAGGAAGTGCTGGGCTCCTTAGCTCCCAGCTATGTCCATTGCACCTGGAAAGTGTCTGCTAGAGCCTCCTCAGCTGCAGGGAGCAGTGGGGATTGAGATCTTTTTAAAGTGCAGGTGGAAAACATGAAGTTGCTGATGTGGCAGAAGTGTAAATAGACCCTCCAGGGCACTGCTCTGTTAGGAGTGCTGTGTCCTTCAAGGCTGGACATTTTGGGCATGGGCAAAGTGGCTGTGGGCAGCTAGAGAGCTTTGGTGAGTAGGCACGAACCCTCAGGAGGTGCTGGCTCCACACCGAGCATTTTTGTCCCCCCTTGGAGGCTCTGAAGGTAATAGATGCAGATACGAACATGGCAGTCGTTGCCTTTTTGGCTCTAGCTCTCCTCTAATGCTCTCCCTTGTCCCCTTAGTCCAGCCTGGCTCCAGCATCCGTGACCTCCGAAGCAGTTAAGCTCCATGGTGGCTCGGCAAGCCTGGAGGTGGGTCTTAATTTACCAGCTTTACAAATCCCCATGCTGAGGTGTGGAGCGGAGCCCGGAGCCAGCCCTCGCTGCAGGCTCCGGCAGATGGACGTTACCCTGAGCGTGCGTCATGTAGCCTGAGAGCAGCTCCCTGCCTCCTTCAAAGGGTCCTGTTTTTTTCCAAAGCTGTCTTTTGGGCCTAAATGCATACGTTTGCTCAGAAATGTAAAAAAAACGAGTAATGTTTTTTTACAAGTGTTCAGCAAGCAAGAGCTCTTGTTCTGCTGATGCAGTGTGGCTGCAGAAAATTAGCTCCTTTGGGCCTGATTTTGGGAGCTGGTGCGCGTTTTTGGACATCTGGGCTTGGTGACCTAGGGAAGCTCTGACAAATGCTTAATGCAGCACTGTGCCGTGCTCYGCGTGCCTGGGGTGTGCTGTGGGTCCTCTGCATCCCTCCAGCATAGAGGGCAAATGGATCTGTTTTTCTAGGTAGCCTCTTGCCTGGCTTTGTAAATACAGCCAGAAATAAGACTCTTTAGAGGCATTAAGATCCCAAGTGCTTAAGCAGTTTTTAAAAATGGCTCTGATGCTTCTCAATTACCTGGATAAATTAGAGGAACACAGTGTCTTACATGTTTCCTATCTATACCCTTATGCTTCCCCCCCACAGAAATATTTGCCTAGTTAGCCAAGGGCTGAGCCAAGTACCTGTCCATTARCGTCTTAATGGCACCATCACTGTTTATGGCTGCGCTGCTGCTTGGGGATCCATTTGGGCCACAGATTACCCAGGCCTTGCAGTTTTGCATCCCTCTTGGAGCAGCTCGGTGGGTTTTGCCACGTTCAGCCCCAGGCCTTGGTGCTCAGCAACAAGTCCGGGAGGGAGTTTGATCCCAGATATTGGGGCAGGAGGAAATTGGTGTCCTCCTCCTGCTGCTCAGTTGTTTGGCTTTCAGCTGTGTGCAGTACAGCTGCTCTGCTGGAGCCACCGTGATGGGCTCATCCAGCTGTTCCGCTTCATCCACACACCAGATTTTTGTCGGTTTATCGCTAATCACTTTATATAAGCATGATGGAAGCATATGCAAGGTTGTGCATATAGAGGTTTTGCACCTATTTAACCGTGTTGACTCAGAAAGGAGTTTCTATTAACCCAGTGCAGGAGCTGTGAGAAGGTGAGGGTGGTGAGGAAGTACTTTGCTCTCCTAGCAGYGAGGGAGGTTATGCTGCAAAGTGGAATAATCTGACACATCTATTCTGGAACAGAAACGCCTGTTAACTTCTCCTCTGGGAAGAAGATTTTCCCCRGTGTGTGTTGATAAGATCTGGACTGAATGTGCCTCGCTGCTCCTCCAGATACTGTCGCTGAAGAAGCAGAAGCGTCAAAGAAGCCTAAATTCATCTTTGCAGCAGCACAACTGGCCTGTAGAGCCCTGAGCATCTCCTCAAGGGTTGGCAGCTTTCTGCACAGAAACCTTGCCGGGGTGCAGGAAGGGACTAGGTGCAGTGCAGGGCTGAACTAGCAGCAAATGGAGATGAAATAAATAATGAATTGATAGCTCTTCCAGCATAAGTATTCAGCAGTTCACCAGGCCTCCTAATGGCTGTGAGGATGTCAGCTCTATGCGGAGCTGTAATGAGGAGCCGCCGTGTCAGTGCTGGTCTGGGAAAACACTGGCCAATAAATATTTTCCCCAGCCTAATCACATCAGGCAACGGAGCCAGCAGCAAGCTGTGTCACAAGGAATGTAAAATATTGGCAGCTTCCCAGCCCATTCAGGTAGGGCTGGATTTCCTGTCTCTTTTCCCTCCTTCCCCAAGCCCGTGCTAGTGCTGCTCTTTTTGGAGAGTTAAAGTATGTCAGATGGCGGCTGTGTCGCACCGCGGCTTGTCAGAGCCGGCCGCCTGGCGAGATGCTGTGCCGGGGCCCAGGAGAGTTTCAGGGAATCTGCTTTCTAAGGTTATGAAAGCAAGGCTCAGATTGTAATAGAGAATTAATCTTTTCAAATTGCCCTTTAGCCCATACAGTTCTGACCAGCGTGGTATTAATATTTTAAGTGGATTTTAKAAGCTCACTGGAAAAAGCAGGGGTGGAAGCAGGGGGAGAGGTGGCCTTCTCGGTGGATAACACCAATGTTTAACCCTTTGGGCCCAGCACCCAGGCAAGGAAGGAGCTGTACTGGTTTCTGGCTGAAGATGGATCCTGTGCTTCAGAGGCACGTGGGAAAGGGGACATGAGCCTGGTCGTTCCTGTGCCGCRTTCCCACCATGGTCCTGCCTTTCTGACACCGCCACTTGCTTGAGCTCAAATCCAGCAATTCCCTGGGCAGAGATCAAACACCTCATTAAAGAGCTGCTGTTACTTACACTTGGCCCCTAATCAAAAAGCCRCAAGTCTGTCAGTGAGAGCTGTTGATGGATGCCCAAGGTGGCAAATCTTTTCCTGTTTATTGCTGGGTGAGGTGCAGGAGGTGTTTTTCATTTTCTTGGATGCGCAATTGTGTTCCTCAGTTGTCAGGCAGTGTTTAATTATTTAATTAGTCATGCAAATCTAGCCTGAATTTTTCTACATCTAAATCATTACTCCAGCAATTAAAAGGCTGCTTTGATTAGCTCTCATTACAGCACATGGCACCACGAAGCTCCTCATCTTTCCTCTGACAATGCAGYGTGTGGATGGGACTGTCAGTTAAGTGACAACGTGGCTTCAGTTCCTGGCTTGCTGCAGAAGCACCAAAGATCTGGAGAGTTTCCATCCTGGCAATGAAGGAGCCACAGAAACTTATTTGCTGGTGAATTATCCACACTTGGAAATCTGAAGGTGAGAAACAGCTGTTTCCTCTGGGAGGAAAGCGTAGGCCTGAAGCATCTCACTGAATTTGCTGCTTGCACTRTCTCTGATGCTTGTGGAGTAATAGGGAGCCTGCTTTGGATGTACCACCAGCCATCAGAATGAGCAGGAATGTCCCAGTTTCCCTGCTGGGAGGTGGGCAGATGTTTATGGGTGACACTGAGCTTTTCCCGGGCAAAATAGACCAATGGATTGGAGGAAATGACAATGACAGAGATATCAAGAACCGGAGGGTGAGGGGAGAGATGTTTGCTAGAGATGAGGAGAACCAGGGAAGAGATGCAGAAGGCCTTTGGGATATGATTCGTGCACAGGGGAGGTGAGAATGGAGGAAGGAAAATGCAGGGAAGGGAGAGAGACTAGCTGGTGAAGGCAGAAAAGGGGAGGAAGAGGAATGAATAAGGATCTGCAAAGAGCAGGGAGCTGGAGGAACGTGCAGGAAGAGGGAGGAAGAGATGAGAAAGTTACTGATGATGGGCTTTTGGGGGCAGAAAAAGCTGATTCCAACAGCAGGGCCCTTCTCCAGATGTGACCTGCAGCTGATGGAGCTGCTAGTGCTCTCCAGCAAGGGCATCTGAGGCTGGTTTGAATACCTGTCTTCAGACCAAATGTTGTTGCTGAACCCAGATTTGACCCCCAAAAAGCTGATGAAAATGGAGGAACTGCATGCCTTAGGCTTGTACAATGGAGACAGTTATTTTCTTGGGAGTGTGTGCTGGATATCCAGGCCATGAAGGGACATTCATAAGGCCTAGTGGGTTAAGAGCAAGCCTGTCATCATATATTGGTGGGTGTGGGGGKTTTTGTTTGTTTATTTGTTGTAGCAGAACAGACTGGGCCTGGTAGCAGCAATAGGATGGGAAAACTAATTGAGCGCATCCTGCAAAAGGAACTAGTGAGAAGAGGTGATAGTTTCCCATGGCTCGTGCAACTACTGCATTTCTTCTCAGGCCAACAGGAGATGCAATTTTTGGCCTTCGTCCATGGGCATGAAGTGATCTCCAAGCCTCGATTTCCCGTCCTTCGGAAATCAGCTTGTTTTGTGTGTGGCCCCCTTTTAAATTAGGTTCAGCTTCTCAACCCTCACTCACTTTACTTCATCGGATGCGGTTTGGTGGGAAATGAGTCTCAGGGGCTTTGCTATTTCTGTTCCAAGGAAGCAGGGTTTTTGCTATTGCTTTTCCCTCTCTCCATCTTATTCTATTAATATTTATTGCCCTGGCAGGTAGGGTCCCGAATTAAAGCAGCTGTTATTTCCCTGTCTCCATGATGCTTTTTGTACTTTTGATCAATGTTCAAGGTGCTTTCACTCTCTATATTTCCTGCCCTAGATTTTCTGGTGCAGCCTCTAAGCTGCAGCTGTGTTTTGCTGGCAGGTCTGTTGAATCCCCCTCTCTGTAGAGCTGTCATCTTCTGCTCTGCCTGGGACTCTTTCAGATCCTGCTGTAAAGCAGCAGCTGCTAAGGACCTGGTCACCCTCTGCTATCTGCTTAGTTCTAGTCAGTGCTGTATTTGAGCCACACATCTGTCAACACTGGGGACCAGTTGGGAACACATTTCATGTCTGAAGGTGGTGAAGAAATTCTCCATGGGGAAGGCATTAGCCTGAGACACCTTCCTGCCCAGAACAAAAGCAGAGTTTTAGGCATGAATAGCTGCAGTGCAAATTCCTACGCTTCTGTCCCACTCTTAATAAGGTATTAAGGTATAAGAGCTGGGTAAGGTAAGAGCTGGGTAAGGTAAGAGCTAAACCCAGCCCTGAGTTTCCCTGCTACGTTCTGGAGAGTTGCTGTTTCTGTACAGTGAGCTGGCTGAGTGCTGCTGTTAGGTGCTGAACAGTGGCTTTTCACGTGTGGTTTTGCTGTCTGTTCCCCCATCTCCTCCAAAGGAGCAGGACAAATCCCGGCCTTGAAAGGCTTGCAGGTTGCYTTTCAGCAGAGCAGCAGTCGTGACACTTACCAGACTTGGCTGCTGTGGCAGTGATGCCCTGCAAAATCCAGCCTGTCACCTCTGTGCTGTGCTCGGACGTGCTGTACCCAAGACCTTCAAACGGCTGATGGGCGCGTGGCCGGGGARGTGTCTCCTCATGGATTAGCTGTGGTGCTCTGGCCTGGCCATACTGCAGCGGCTGCTTTGTTCCTTTGCCTGCAACAGGTCTGATTATTCACCCTGGGAATGAGACTTCCTTCCTCAATGCAAATCCCTGCATTGGGCTAGGAAAGTAGTGGAATTGGTTAGGCGAATCCACTGGGAAAATGCACTGAATAGAAAAATACTRTTTGTGCCTTCTGGAGCTGAACAATTTGGGGGCCCAGCTGGGGGCATCGGAGCATCCGCTGTGCCAGGATGGGCTCTGCTGCTGCGGAGCAGGACACAGCTGCTGTACAGCACAGCACGGGCTTCCCTCCAAGCCAGTGGGCCCTTTGGGAATGTGGATTGGGAAGGATGGCGGACAGGGACTGGGTGGAAACAAGGCTGTTGTAAGCAGCAGTCTTGAAGCCGGCTTCGTCCTCCRGGTCTTCTCCCCCACCTCTGGTCCAGGAGGTAGCTCTGGAGAGCAGCGGCTGCTGCTTCCTGCAGCTCATTGTTCAGCCGCGTTTCCTTCCTCCTGCCCGCTCAGCTTGTGCTGGGAAGGGCCCAGGATGAGCCCCACGACACAGGCCGGGGGCTCGGGGGGACAGCAGTGGCCACGGGGCTCATGGTCAGCGCTTTGCTGGGATTTTGGCTAGGCCTCCCTGTATCCTGCTGCAGCGGTAGCCCCTGGGAGAAGCYGGACTCTCCCGTTGCCCTGGGGCTGCTTCAGAGCCAGGAAGAGAGCAGAGGGGAAGAAGTCCCCGCTTCCCTCCTTCCTAACAGCCCTTTTGGAGGGGTTGGTCATCCATGGGGATGTGCTGCTTCCTGCTCACTCTGAATCTTCCCCGGACTCAAAATCCACTGCTACCTTTTAAACTAATTCCTCCATGAGGAACTAAGTTTATGGCATCATCTCAGGGGAAGAGCATGCTTAGATGCTCTGACCAAAGTGTCTTGCTTGATAGCACCTTATTTTTAGCCTGCGGTTATGTGAGAATGGGTAGTTTGGAGAACATGTTCCTCAAAGACTTCTGCCTTGCATAAAGGGAGGGATGAACACAGATGACTTGGGAAGTGCTGAATGGCTGGTCTGGAGGAAACCCCTTCTACCCTGCTCAGAGGTGTTTTACTCAATTCAGTTTATCTCCTCATTCAGATCTGGTTGACCTCAGCTTTCCAGAAAATGGGYTTAGGCTCCCTCAGACTGGCCCAAGTAGTTGTTCATTGCCATAATTAAGTGTTGCACCTCTCTCAAGCCCAAGCAGATCTCACCTGTTGTCCATTTAGCCACCTTGATCTTCGTTCTTTGTGTCTCTTCTTTTTCAGCCCTCTGAATACAGCAGGAGATGAACCAGAGCCAAGTTGTGCCCTGCAAAGAGAGTGCAGTGGGACTGGTGAGCAGAAGTGTCTTACTGGGAGAGTTCCTGATTTCTAGAGCATTTTGGAGAAACCAGAGCTGTGATAGCTCAGCACCATGAGAGGAGTCGTGTGTCGGCCAGGGCCTGARTGATGCTCTGTGGGGCTGTCCTGGGAAGGAAGTTTTTACCCAGGAAGTTCCTGGGTAAAAGAGGGTTTCTTGGGGTCTTCTATGGCACCTTGACAGCATTTTTCAGCATTAGTATTGCCTTCCTTAATAAAAAGGGGGGAAAAAAGCTTGCTTTCTTTCTATCTTGCCTTAAATTTTTGTCTTTTTGGTATTCTCTTTCCTCTCTTTGCTCTCCTAATGCATCAGTCCTGCTGCAGAAGGCTGATGGTCCCTCTGGTCTTCSCAACCAGGCTGAAAGCTCTCTAAAGAAAATAAGGGGGGCAATTTTACAGTATTTCTAAAAATAAAACCCCTCTGCAATTCTGGAGTATTTCTCAGCTACCGATTTCAAAGATCCTTGAAATTCTCGGCTACTGAAGCTTCCTGGCTCCCTGGGGAGGGAAGCACTGGCTTGTAGCAGGTGGCAGGCCCTTTGCAGGAACRCCTTGCTGGCCTCTTAGACCAAGCAGGGAGGTTTCCACCCCTCTTTAAACATTTGGTCCTAGAGCTATGAAGGATGGAGATGCCAGAGGCCAAACTGAGCCCCTGGAGCTCTGCCAGGCCTCAGGGAGGGGTGTTTTTGAAGACAACATGGATTTATTTTAAGAGCTGGGGCTGATAAGGAGTTGTGTAGGTTGTACTGGGCTTTGGGCAGGCTGGAAAGGGGAAAAACTCCCAGACCTGGAGCCCTGCACAGGTTTCCCTGTGGCTGCAGATCCAGCTGCCGCTCCAGGCTCCTGTGCTGACACCCTGTGGGAGGCAAGCGAAGGGTCTGGTGCCCGTGGGACTCATCCCAGTGCACAGAAGGGTGTGTGGTCCTTGCAGGCCTTGATATCCTCACTGTTCTCACTGTTCTTTTGATCTTTTTGATCTTTCCAAGAATCTCTCTTTTTTCCACACATATTTAAGCACTCTCRTGGCTAAGGCTTTCATGTGCAGAGGCATCAAAAGCTTTTCTGAAGTCCAGAGTGAACCRTGCCCCCTACTTCCTCCTCTCCACATGCCTGTTCCTTCAAGGACCATCTCCCACGTGTGCACAGTTTCCTACCTCATCATCCCCCAGCACAGAGCATCTCCAAACAGGCCCATCCTCCCTTCGCTCGGCTGTAAATGGTGACCTTAATGTGTCCTAATGCCCTATTTATTTATATATTTATTTATTTATTTAGGCAATCAGAAGAGCTGTTGGATGGGAGCTGGCCCAGTGCAGTGGGACCTCACTGCCCTTGTTGGAAGCTGCTTGGTGATCATGGAGCAGCTGGGAGCTGAGGAAGCCACTGCACCAGCAGCAGTTTGGCTGCCCTGTCTGAGCCCCTCGCAGAATTTCCTGGAGTGTGGCCATCGGAAAAGGTGGCAAAGCACCACAGGTAACAGGTACCACTTATGGCACTTTGATGTGGCCGGGGCTTTGGGTCTGCGATGGGGTGTGATGCTGCTCTGGCTTTGCGATGCTGCCGGGTATTTTTTAGCACGTCCCTAATTGTCATCCTGCTTGGAGCCCTGTGCGTGGCCCTGTTTTTTCCTCTTGTGGTTCAAGGCTAGAAAATAATAATAATAATAATAATAATAATAATAATAATATGAGATTTTGTCCTTTGCCTTTAATTCATCTTCAGCCTGTGTTTTTGGCAGTCGGGCTACTGTGTGTGCCAGGTAGCAAAGCCTGGAGGGGCACCGTGCGAAGGCAAACGTCCCCTGGGGCGCTAGGAGCTGGAGGTGGCCTTGGGGTCACCTCCAGACGGCTGCCCCAGGCCTGGCTTGGCAGATCCCTAGGGCAGAGGCTGGCGGGATGCATTTGCTGGGCCGGGAAGGCTGAAGCGGCTGCTCCAGAGGATGCAAAACAGGAGCTCGCCGCCCTGCCCCGGGCAGGAGCACCGCGCTCCCCAGATAAGGATGCAAAGCTGCCACCGCTTCCTGCCGCCGTGGGCACGGGGACGTCGCGGTGGGCGCGGGGACGTCGCCTCCCTTGGCTCCCAGCACGAGCCACGAGTGGGGCAGGTTCTTGTCCTCCCTGAGTCACTATGAGAAGGATCTTTCCAGGAATGGGCGCGCAGCTGCAACTGAGCAGCCTCTGGCGTCTTGCTGGGGTCAAGAATAGTTATCCACCCCGTGGATAGCAGAGTTTGGTGCTCACTGGGCCAAGGACGCGGCACGCTCGCTGCCGAGGGGGAGTAGCCCTGGTGAAGCAGCACAGATGCTCCCCATCCCAGCAATTAAAAACCCCAGTTTGTGCTCGCACCTTTATACGCAGAGTATTTCTGGCTTTTGCAGGGTATTTCTGGCTTTATACACAGAGTATTTCTGATGTTTTGCCGCTGTTTGCGGGAGTTTGTGCTTCAGTTCACCAGACTCTCCTGTCCCCCCGAATTGCACTGAAGACGCAAAATCATCCCCTAAAATCATTCCTACTCTGCTTCTCCTGGAACACCTGTACTACGTAAGCTTAACATGAGCATGAGCAGGTTGCTGGAAATAGCTGGAAACAAGATCCTCTTTGAATGTTTTTTATATATCATACATATATATTTATAGGGGTGTGTGTGTGTATAAATATATATTCTTATGTTGCTCAATTTGGAAATCTGGGTTGGCTTTACCCCCTGGAGCTAACCCCTACCCAGGGGTCATTTGTGGGGTTTTAGAGAGGTAGATGCAAAAAGAGCTGAGAACTTGTGTTTTTTAAAATGCTCTCTGCCCGAGTGCTTTTCAACAGATAAATAATGTTCGTAACATTGTTCATAACATTATTCATATGCTGAAATCTAATGCAAGAAATGGCCTCACAGGCTCCTGCACCAGCCCTCGCCTTGGCTGTGATACCGAGCCCCTCTCCAGCCCCGGAGCAATTAATGATTAACATGTTGTCCAGAAGATCTCCAGAAATCCACAGCTTTGCTGCTGCTGCAGGGAGCACCTGGTGTCTTTCTAGGTCATCTCTAGCTTTATACAAAGCAAGTAGGTGTGGAGCAGGCTGAAATAAGTGCTGTGCTGTTCTTTAGACCATGAAATATTGTTTTTTTCCTCTCCCTTGTGAAAGAAGAGCTGATCTTCTCCCTGGTGTCCTCATGGAATCTTTCCTCAGGTGCCACAGGGGCACACGGGGTTGGCCAGTGTGGATAGTGGCCCTGGTCAGGGGTAGAGGAGGTGGCAGGCAGCTGTTCCACTAACAAATCCTGATGGGGATCGGATGGGAAGAAGTCACCAAAGAGCCCAAAGAGGCTACTTGCTGAGTGCCAGTGAAGCTGCAGGCTTTTTTTTTTTTTTCTTTCCTTGCTTCCCAGCTAATCCAGCTTCATCCATGATAATGCCCCTTGGATACAGGACAAGGACACCAGCCCCCACAGAGAGTGGCAGCAGGTGGAGACCAAACACGGGATGAGAAGGGGTGCTTGGAGGTGAGCGGGGGGACATCCCTGGTGGGGGGCACCGCGCTGTCCTGCCGCTCCTGGGCACCCGCTGTCACCCAAGGGCATCGCCCGGGCAGCGAGTCGGTGTTCGGAACAACTCGAGTTACAAATGTACGGGCATGGGAAGCAGCTCTATACATTCCCGGGATATTAATTGCATCTAAAATGACCTTTTTTTCCTGTCCAGCAGGTACTTAAGGCAACTGGATATACTGCGTGACAGAGAAGGTGTCCGACAGCGGGCACTGCTGTCCCCACGTGCTCCTCAGTTCCCGCTTACTCCCTGTGCTGGGGACCTCAGGAGGTCCCAGCCAGGTGATATTCAGGTCTTCAGCTGCATCCCTGATTGTCCTCTGAGCTCTTTTCCCCGCTTTTTTCCCCTAAATGGCTCACATGCATCCCTGAGTGTCAGGATCCCCCATCCCATTGGCCCTTCCCGGGCTTTTCCACATTGTGCCTTGGCTTTTCACCTGAACCAGGCAGGCAGCGTTGCCAGCCAGGTCAGCTCAGGTTAAACCTGATGGAGCAAGATGGCCCGCAAAGAGATTTAAAGCAGCAAATCCCATTCTGACCCTGAAGATGGATATTCATATTTCACTCGACGGGGGATATTTACCTACTTAGAACAAAAAATATATATATAATGCAGCACTAAGTGATTTCTTCTGCGCGGGTTTTTTTGCCTGCCAGCCTGGGTAATCCTAATCCCCCGGCACTGCAGAGCCCACGGCCAAGCTGCCCAGCAAGGCCGGAGAAGTGGTGGAGTCAGGGGCAGAGTTTGGGAATAATTCCTGTGCATCTCTTTCCCCTGGCTAGGATGCACCAGGGTGTGGATTTGGCTCCTAAATCCAGTTCTAAATCCATAACAGTAGCCTGGAATTTACCCGACCTTTGTAGCTAGCTTGGGGAGAAGATGCTGAAGGAAAAGAGGGAACCATTCTCTGTTTTCCTGAGGAAAATCCCATTCCCTGGCGCTCTCCCTCAGCCGAGTGGGATTAAGCTGCAATCCTGGCTCTGTACAAACATCCCCTTGTTTTCCCACGGCTGAGCCGCCTCTGGGGCTTACAGGTCCCTGCTGGAGCTGGGGCTGGTTTCGTAGCAAGGGGGTGACTCRGGGAACAAGTTCAGGTTATGTTATCGTAGGATTACGTGGAGTTGGAGGGGAAAATCTTCTTTAATGTCCTTGGGCCTCAGCCAGATGTCAAATTCCACCCRGAGCATCTCCCCGAAGGAGGACAGCTGTGATAAGGCACAACTGGGACCAAATGCAGGCAAATCAAGAGGATCTCTTCAGGCCAGAAAAGTGCTGAGGGATCCAGCCCATCCATTGGCATCACGGAGGATGAAGGGCAGTAGTTTGGCCCCTGAATTGCTAAGGGAGGTTAAAGAGACACAGTTCCTCCCCRGCAGCCCACGCAAAGTGTTATCTTCCCCAGGCAAGAAATGGGGAGGTTTGGAGTTACTTGGGGTGTTGTGATCCAGTAGCACTTGGGTATTAGGGGGACAAAACCCAGATCTGGAAGATGCCGATGGCTTGGGAACCAAAGAGCAACTTCTAGATGTGGGTTCAGTAAAAATCCTGCAGTTCTGGCCCAGCGGGAAAACTCTTGAGTCTAAAAAAAGTTTCAGAGTATTAAAATAAAAATCAGAATCCTACCAAAACCGGGAAAATTCTAGCTTCTCCACAAGATATTCCTGTTACTGAACTATAGAAAGCTGGAGATCTGTTGATCGGGGCACCAGAATACACCAAGGGAGTCTCCCTTGGCCGGACAGCCAGCGATGCTGACGCGCAGCAACGTGAAAATAGACGATGAGTCTGTGCAAAGTCTTGGCTATTTTGGTTGTCGGAAAATGAGATGGCTCCTCAGCCCACTGGGAAGATGGAAATAGCATCCTGTGGTGCTTCACTTTGGAAAATATTTGCAATATTTTTAGAAAAAAAAAAGGGGGGGGGGGAAGTCGGAGTTATGTTTAGTCCATCAGCTCTCCCAAGCTGGACTACAAAGCAGACTAATTAGTGCTGGAGCTCTGAGATTATGCAGGGCCCCTAGATATGGTCTAGCCCCAAGTTGGGTGTATGTTTAATGCCACCAACTTCTTGTGGTAGAAATGGGCCAGCCTGGCACCCACGTCCAGGCAACCTCCTGTCCCCCCTATTGCAGGTGCCCAGGCAAAGGGAAGGAGAGGGGAGGTGTCTAAAGCCCTGGCGAGGGACGAGCCCGGCGGTGGCCTCAGCCCTTACGAGACACCAGAGCATCCCGGCAGAACCGGGCTCTTTTATATGCTCCATCTCTTACATATACAGAAGGCTACGTCTCATCTAATCTTTTATTTTGTTATATATTTATTTTCTTGCACATTAGTAGGAAAATACAAGTGACACGGATGTTGGTACATCTCCTGCGCATGGCGAAAGCCACCCCGGGTGCTTCTCGTTAACATCATTCATATTTTAGACCCCTCTCAGGCCCGCTGATACGGGAACGCTGTTTGCTCCTCAATAACATGCGCCTTAAACCTTCATGCGCCTCCTCCTTGGCCGCTCCCTGCAGCCCTCCCTGCTCCCAGCTGGACTCCCTTCCCGCTGATTAGCTGCTGGAAACCCARGAATATCCACCCTAGGGTGGCTGCTCGCGGGGCAGGATCTTGCACCCACTTGCACTCACTCCTCCAGGAGAGCAGGCCTGTGCGGCGCTGCCCGGTGGCTCCGGGCGCGTGACCGGGAATCTCTGGGATTTCTGCTCTCCTCGGTTAGGGAGAACGGAGCCTGGTGCCAATTCCTTGCTGGTTCCCTAGCAACCCCTTGTGCTCCGCTTGCTTTCTTTCCTCTTTTCTTTGGGGGCAATGTTGGCACGTTAAGCTCCAGGCCATGTTAATGCATCGTCCTCCCCGAACGGGCCCAGACAAAACTCTGGGAGCAAATTGAGTGGCAGGAGAAAGGAAAAACCTTTCCTGGCTCTTTGGCAGAGCTAGGAGGAGGGCCGGGAGCCATGGGTGGTGTCACACTGCTCTGAAGGGAAAATCAATGGAAAAGTGAATTTCAAAAAGAAGGAAAAAGGAGGAGTCGAATAAAATGGGGGAAAGRGAGATCCTTCCTTGCTCGAGATCAATCCTTTGGCCTCTCGGCTTTGAGAGCATGGGATGGGGTTTGGAGGTGAGGGGTGGTTCAATGGGAACCAAGAAACCCAGTCCTCCTCCTGCAACGCTGTCGTCTTGCCCGGTTTGGGAAACAAGTGACRCTGATGAGGATACCCCAGCCCAAGAGACGCCTCTGGAATCTGGTCTTCGCTTGTTCCAAGGCCCTTCTAAACCCGCTCTTAGTCTTGCAGGGGATGTGAAGCCAAGGAGGCTCCTCTTCCAGCAGCCTTCCTGCACCTCTGGCTGCACCTTTTCCTAATCCACTTTTTCTTAGGAATGGCAAAGTCCTGAGCAAGCCGCACCAAGGAGCTCTGCAGCAATGCTGGTCATCAACAGGGGGGCCTTGGGAATTGTCCTCCTGGAGGAGCTGCAAGGAGGTTCTCGAGAAGGTTCCTGCTGCTGCCCACAGGCAGGGTCCTCCTGCCAGGGTGACGCTCGCCAAGTCAAAATACAGGGGAAATGATCCTGCCTAATGGAGCAGCAGCTCTGCAGGACCRATGGGTGGTTTTAAATGCACAGGAGGTTTTCCTTAACAAGCCAGCCATGAACATATAAGAGGAAATTACTGCACGTTAAAGCAATTACGTCCTTAAACGAGAAGGGGAAGAATTCTATGGGCATATTTAAAGGTATTTGAGAGTGTTTAAGTACAGGATTCTGGGAGGTTTGTGGAAAGATTAGTTTCAGCAAATTGCTCGTCAAGTCAAGTCTGAAAATTATTTGGCAGCGTGAGGAGAGGCTCTGGCAATGCGGAGCCCCACAGGCTCAGCTGGTGCCGCAAGGGTCCCACGCCAGGAATGAGGTACTCACCTCTGTTTTCACTTCCAGGTAAAACCAGKATGTAAAATCCTGCTCTTTAAAAGCAACGGTTAAAATAGCACCTGTTGTGGGGCCTTGATGGAGGAGGTTGGAATAACATGGTCAGTTTGGGGCAGTTTTCATGAGGTACCAGGTTGAGAGCTACACAAGAAGGGTGACCCTTAGRGAAGTTCCTGCTGAGCTTCACGGCCGTTGGCAGCTCCTTTTCTTTCTTTTTTAAGAGCGTAATGGAATTTAATGCAAAGCCACAGACTAAACTTCTCCTGCGTGTTGCCTTTAAAAGCCTGACAAAAGTGGACAATTTAGTGCTTTTATGAGCATATGTTGGCATGCAAATTCATAACCAATTTATAAAGTTAAATGTGCCTTTCTCCTTTCCTGCTGTTAGGCTCAGCCCCGCACATGCTGTCCCATCGGAGGCGCCCCCTCCTCGTGTCCCCTCTGTGTGACACTGCCGCCTTCTCCCACGTCCTCCGAGAGCTTCTCCGTGAGCAGAGCCACGGGGTTGACCTGATGGCTGGTCCAAATGCTTCTAACCAACAGTGCCGGGAAGCTCCCACTTAATCCCTGTTATCCGCGGCAGGAGGATGGTGGTGGTTGCACCCTTTGGAGCCCAGTTCCACTCACATTTCTCCATCCTCCRCTACATCGTGGCTGCAGGCTCGGCTGCTCCTCGCCCTGGGCTGCTGGGATGACCTGGCCTTTTCCTGGACTTCCCTCGCCCCAGCCTTGCCTGTCTCCCCACATGACGCATTTCACCCGGGTCTTTATCTCGCAGACCTTGCAATCAGCAGCACGGGGTCTTATTTACATTTTTTGAAGGCGCGGGCGGTGGTTTCCATCCTCCACATCGCAGCTGGGCAGYGCCAGCAGGACCCTTCATGGCAACATCTTTTTTTTATATATATATAATTATTATATTTTTTTGAACGAGGCAACTTCATCTCTGTGGGTTACAGGAAGAGCGAGCAACATCTGATTATGAAAACGCTGCTGGCAGCCAGCCCACAACCTACTTTGCACATTAATCTCCACCAGCAGCTGCCACCACGGGAGTGTCGTGGCCAGGGGACAGTGTCCAGCCACCTCGTCACCCCGCTCAGCCCTGTCGCCGCCAGCCCCAGCACCCTGGGGGGACAAATAAGCAAACACACAGGTTCTCCTAAAATGATTTCCTGTTCTTTGGGTATCAGCATTTTCCCACCCAATGTATTTCAATGGGGTTCAGAGAAGTAATTTGGAAGACAAATATTATGCCCAGTTCTGCTGCCTCTCTTAATAGTACTGAGAAAATTAACTTTTTTATTTCCATCCCATCTGAAAGAAGCTTCATTTTTGATAGTTTTTCCGTAGTTTGTTTGTGCGGGAAGGGAATCTGCTCAGATTGCTGCTTTTCCAGCTGCTGG